TGGAGGCCCGGATCGTCCGACGATTGCACACTCCAGACAAAAATCTGGCCGCTTACAACAGCTAGCATAGGCTACAGATGCAACTCCCAAGGCATCTCCGTTTGGAAACCGCTCTCCAAACACCCACGCATGCAGCTTAAGCTTTGTGCACAGACTTCAACAAAAGTTCCTTGACCTCGGTCGGGTCTGTGCCCGATTCGAGCTTGGGGATACCCAGGTGCACGATCTGCGACCTCACTGTCAACGGATCTTTATCACGGCAAAGTATTTGAAACAACTGGGACTTGCCCTTCTCACGGATGCCGTAGGCATTCTTTGGAAACTTGTAGTACATGATGCTCCACTTCGAGTTCACCGTGCAGCTCAGACTCGGCTTCTCTGACTTTTTCTCGGACTTTTTCTTTGCAACGGCCTTGGGCTTCGATTTGGCCTTCGGCTCATCGATCTCGACCTCTGCCGAAGTCTTCGCTTCCACATCGGCAAGCGGATCTGGGGCCTCCGCTTCGGGTTGAACTTTCGAGGCTGGCTTCTTCTTCGGAGACTGATTTTTCGACGCGGGCTTCTTCATGGCAGCCTTCTTAGGCTTAGCCTTGGCCTTGGGCTTCTTATTGACCGGGGGCGGATCCTCGGTGCCAACAGGGAGCTCCGTGAGGTACTCCGTGCCGTCTGCGAAGGCCGCGAAGTAGAAGGGCTCCGAGTCCTTTTGAAACAGGTCCACGTGCTCCTCCAAGGTGCCGTCGGCCTGCATCCGGACTGCCTTCCATGCCGAGAAATCAGTCCAAGGCTTCGAAGAGCTCGCTGCTCCTGCAGTAGGATTCGAGGAGCAGGTTGCTCCTTTGCCAGGCTGGCCATCCTCGCTCGAAACCTCTACGATGTTGTCCCCGTCGATCGCGACGATCTGGGATTCATCAAAACCAAAAGCTGCCAAGATGGATTCCTTGCTCAAGTCGCCCTTGTCGGAGATCATGGACGCCTTCTTGCACAGAGCCGGTGCTGTGGACGGTTCCGGCCTCGACGGTGAACCTGAGCTTTGCTGGACCAATTCCTCCATCCATGCAGGAAGTCTTGAACAGTCCACGCTGTTTCTTCTCTTGCGGTTTACTATGGCTCATCATGTTGGTGATTCCTTGGGCCTCTTGCCGAAGTGTTCGCCACCCGTTTGGAGCTGACCGAAGGAGTCTATTTGCATGAAAATTGTCGAGCCTCACCAAAGCATGCTTGAGATCGGCAGGAACGATTTGTTTGGATATCTTGAACAATTGTTTCAAGAATTCTTTGTGAAGTTCGCAGACGCCGTCCATCTGCATGCCTGACCAACCGAAGAGACCCCGCTGCTCCATGTCAGGATTCTGATCCATGACCTGCTTGAGAAACATGGGATCCAGGGTGTTGCACATGGCATGATAGACCTTCTCGCCCGTGGAGGTCATGGCCTACGAACCCAGCTACGACACCTGCAGGAGCATATGCCCTAGGCCGGACCAAGAGCACGAATAGCTTCCTTCACTGCGCATGCAAGCTGCATGCCTCTCGCGACAAAGGCACAGATCCCTCGCACACGCAAACTGCATTTCAGCTGCCACGACTCGACCAAGGCACATGCAGGCAGTCTCGCCTGCAGGAATCCGACCTAGCTATTCCAGGTAAAATTAACAATTGCTATGCATGCATGAATTACGGCAGTCGACTACGGGGGCGAAACTTCGTTACCATGCATCGCTGCGGCCGAAACTTCGCCGCCTTCTTCTGCAATCGCAAGTGCCAGCCTGCACTTATACGAATCTATACTTTCCTAGCTCAAAACACAATTTTTTTAAAAAAAAAACTATACATGGTACCATATACCTAGAAAACAATGGATTAAAACAAAAACTAAACATGCTACCTAGCTGCGAGCTCGCTTCGCGAACCATGTCTGGACTTGACCTCTTGTGTACCCTGGCCACTGCAGGCTAGGTTGGGATCTCCAGTCGCTGTACCCCTGCCACTGCTTGCTAGCTTGGGCCCTCCCGTCGTTCCAGTCGATCCACTTGCTAGCTTCGGGTGTCCCGTCGTTCCAGTCGGTCCAGTAGGTCCAGTCGGACCATTCGGTCCACCCCCATTCGTTGTCCGTGACGTCTTCCATTTCCACATCAGCCATTGCAATGGGCAGGCAGGGCAACAAAAAAAAACTAGAGCCAACGATCGCGATCGACACGAACCCTTGCCCGCAACCTGCACATGCATGCTTCCTGCCATATGCACACGTCAATATATATATATATATATATATATATATGGGAAAAATACATTTATATATATATATATATGCAGGAGCAACATGCTCCTCCGACTCTCAACGTATATGATATATGGTGATCGCTGATAGTGCACATCATTCGCTTCTATGTACCAGCGGCCTTGCCACGCTGCTAAACCCGACCAGCTCCAAAACATACGCTGTTAAGCTCTACCATTGACTGTTAACGGCTATCAGTGTCGTCTAGGCGCTTTCACTGCATCTACCCGCGGCTGCTAAGCCTACCAGCTTCAAAACCGACGCTGCCCGATGGACTGGGCATTTGATGTTCCGCCCGTTGCTATGCGGACTGGCTGTAGGAGGACACCTTTGTCGGGCGGGGTGCATCGAAGCACTGCCGAACGCGGAGCTTGGTGGACGGGCGGCCCAGGTCTTTCCCCACCCGCCGCCTCGCCGGGCGGAGGAAGTGCTCGCCAGGATCCACTGGGAGCACACGGTCAGCTTGGCTTACTCACCCGTTTGGGGGAGATCCTTTCACAGAGGACCGACATTAGACGTTGCGTCGGACCTGGAGGCCGTGACGGGTGGCGCCACCCCGCGCAGGAGGGGCGGACCAAACCATGCTCCAGGACCCCCCAAGAAGTCCTTCACGTACACGACGGAGATGAAGGAGAAGATCCACGGTCAAGGGCGGTGCGGACGCCCGCACCAGACACCGTATAACGGCTGGCACTGGGGGTGGTTGGGCGTCTTCTCGCCATTCTTGTGTGGGCGTCCTGGCAGCAACCCGCTCGGGCGTGCTTCGCACGCCTGGTTCTTCCACCGTCCAGTGGCTGCTCGGCCACTGGAGCGCCTTCGACTGGGATTTCTCTCCACCTCCGCGGCCTGACCATTCGTTCCTGGGCGAAGGGTCACCGCCCTCGAACTTGCTCGAGTTCCGCACCCGTTGGCGCCACGACATGGTCCGCATACAAGCAGGTCATCGAGGAGCTGGAGGGCATGGTGGTCGACCTCCAGGACGAGACCGCCGCGTGGCTGGAAGGTCGCCCACACCACGTCCGGACCTCCGACCACTCGGCCATTTCAGTTTTGCGCCTGCTCCAGTGGGGCGGCTGCCTCGAGGAGGGCTTCGATTTGCTGGGCGAGGTCCGCCCAGGTCGTGCGGGACGTCACCATGGCGGCCATTCCCCCCGCATGGCGACTGCTCGCCGCGCTCTCCTTCGCCATCACCCGAGCACGGCGACCTGAAACTGCGCCGATGGTCGGGACACAACGCCACGATGCGGGCGCATGACGTCCCGACACACCACTTCCTGGGCGACATCGTCGACCTCATCCGTCGGGCGCCTCGGGCTGGGACCCGGTCCTGTTTGGGCACGACCTGCAGAACGCCTACCGCCAATGGGCGGTGAAGTTCCCGAAACATTGCGGGCCGTTCCTCCCGACGGCGGCTGGGACCACCCTGTGGTTCCACTTCGCCATGTGCTTCGGCGCAGCAGCGAGCGTCTGGAACTTCAACCCAGCGGCGGACGCTGTCCAGATGCTCGCCAGGGCCCTGCTCCTCGTCCTCTTCGGGCACTTCGTGGACGACTTCAACGGCGTGGAGGACGAGGACTGCGCCGACTCCGCCCACTTTGCCCTCGCCGACTTCTTCGCCCTGCTCGGCCTCCAGACAAGCCCTGTGCCCCGCTCGGCCGGGTGGAAGAACGGCTGCATGGGGCTTCGTGCTTCTCCTCGAGGGCCAGGTGTTCTACGACTTCGGCGTCATCAAGCCCGAGTACCTCAAGCCCTTCGCGTCCCGCCGGGCGTTTGTCTATGTGCTCGAAATTTTGGCACAGGTGCTCCCGATCATCACCTTCGCCAGGCGGCTGCCCCAACACTGGATCGCCTTCTTCATCGACTGACAATGTCGCCGGGCAGTTCGCCCTCATGAAGGGCTACAGGCGGGACCCCGCCTTGAACGGCATCCTCGCCTCATTCTGGAGCCTTGCGGCTGACCGGGCGTGGTGCCCTGAGTTCGACAGGGTCCCCTCCGCCGCCAATGTTTCAGACGCCGTCTCCCGGGGCGACGACTCCAGAGCGGCTCGTGAGGGGTGGTGCCGTGTCCGGGCACCGGTTGACGACGTCATGGTGATCCTCGGGCGGGCGGCGACCGACATCGACTTCGCCTGCCACGAGGGCCTGAGAGGCTTCTTGACCTTGCTTCTTGGTAGGGAGTGCCGGCGCCTTGTGGGCGGTGGGTGCGCCGGGCGGACGCACAAGTGCGCACCCCGGCACCGGCACCGGTTTTCGGGGCGGTGTGCTCGGCCGGGCGCATTCTATGCGACTCGGGAGCCACTGCACCCTAGTAGGATTTTGGGCTAACACGTCGTTAGCGCAGCGCTTGTTGTGTAACGCACGTGTGCGTGTAGGAACAAGCGTCAGCGATCGGCCGCAACTTGCCGGCTCGATCGCCTTTTCGCTTTCCCGGACTCCACCCTGGAGGCTTTAAACCTTTGACTTATATGCGGCCCCACCGGGCGGTCGCCTTGGGGGTGGACGCAGAACGCACCCCGGCACCGGCACCGGTTTTCGGGCTGTGTGCTCGGCCGAGCGCATTCTATGCGACTCGACCATCCAAAAAGGAGCCACTGCACCCTAGTAGGATTTTGGGCTAACACTTCGTTAGCGCAGCGCTTGTTTTGTGGATTCTTGGAGCATCCGCCGTTTCTCTAAGCTGGGGCATGCCTTCAAAGCCCGCCCCATACACGCCGCCGCGCAGGTGCGCATTGAACTCCAAAGTGAGAATGGGCTCCTCGGCATTGGGCCGTATCCGACAGAGGGGGAGGCAGGCAGCCCTGCAAAGATCGTGTTAGCATTCTCACTTCACGAGCTATGCAAGGTATCGGTGGCTTAATGCCGTAAGAGGCTCTCATGGCCATCAGACAGGGGCTAGGTTCTCAGTTCTGCAACTGTGTCCTAGCCGCGTCATGAGGCGAGCTTTCGACATCGCTGAGAACTGAAGACTGGTACTGCTAAGCTGATGTCAGGAAACAGGATTAGCAGCTGAACGATTCTTATTCTTGATCTTGGTCTGCGCATTCGCCGACCGGGACTTTCATACAGACGGAGCATTTCATGCCCCAAGCACATTGGGACCCCAGACAGTGATACTCTGAATCATTTTAAGCTACCTTTGCCCGGCAGCTTGCAATGCACCCCCCAACCCATCAAAAAAACAACAACATCTATAGCCCTACACCCTCAACCCCTGGGAGCTCAACCCAACTCCTGAAACAGCTGGGCAGGTCGATCCCGACCTCATTAATGCGGGAAAGGCAAGCTCAGGGTGTGTTTCGGGAGCGGGGCGGACCCGGGAAGCGAATCAGGGATCGCAAACCCGGCCGGAAAATCCTACAGAGGAGACGGTCACAATGATTCCCGGCTCTTCGCTCTTCTCCTCCTCGGAGTCCTTTGGCATGATCCGAGGGCCAGGCTCTTGGCGGGGTTTTGGCGTGGCCTTTCAGATGTCTTTTTGCTCGTCTTGGAGACTCTATGGCGCTGGAGACTCCTAGCTAAGGTCCAAGGTGGACGTGACGATCCTGGGCGCCATGGAGGCTTCTTGGAGACGGCACACCCTGCTCGCCGCAAGTCCCCATGCTGTCGCTGCACCAGGGATGCTATGGAGTGCCGTCACACACCACGATGATGGTGATCATGACCTGGTGACGAGCGCGATCCAGAGACGACCACAATGTGATGCTGATGGGCAGAGGCTGATGCAGATGATTTTGGAGATGATGGTGATGATAACGATGAGGAGGAGAGGGACGAGATAGAGGCGAAGGAGGCGGAGGCGGAGGCAGTACAGATTGAGGAGGATGAGCATGAAGCCGGTGATTACTATTCTGAAGCTCGTAAGACTAGATGCATTCTGCATGCTGCATAACAGAAGAAGCAGCAGCAGTACTGGCACTATGACGCATACAAACTGGAGGAACCAGGCCGCAACAACAACAACAACAACAGCATCAGCCGCAGCCGAAGCAAAATCATCAATGGTCATGCGTCGCACACATGATGATGTCATCGTCGTGCTAGTTCTCACGTGGTCGTGATTTTCGCTTGGTAAGACTAGCCACGGACGTACAACAGATCTAATTGTCGTGACGTGTCGCATCGAACTCAATCACGCCAGGAGTACTCATAATGACAGCAGCACTGGTCGCGGCTGTGGCATGCGCGCGGCAGCTGCGAGATGATTATTTATTGGTTGCAAACCATTTCTTGATCGTGCCGGCACTGCTGCAGCTGGTAGTGTTGATGAGGGTGATCATGATGATGATGATGATGATGATGATGACGATGGCGGCGGTTTTGGCACAGGCAAAGGCTATGATGCGATGATGATGGTGGCGATGACGATTATTAGTACGATGGCGACATGGCGATGACTACGATGATGACATTGATGATGCTGATGTCGATGATAATGGTGGTGATGATGACGATGACGATGACGATGAAGGCGGCGACGGTAATGACAATGGCAATGTTTGCTATGTGCCGCGTACGGTAGATGTAGATGTATCATCGGCCAGTCGAGTCAGAATAGAGGGTATCGTGAGTAACAGTGTAAAAGGGTGGTAGTAGTAGCAGTATCACGTTTTTGCTTCTCCAAGGCAGACCACCAAAAACACGAAGTCAGTTGTGGCGAGGGCACCTACGAACCCTGCGAAATCTCCCCGAGGTGGCTGCAAACGGGGACCTTGCCAACTGGATCATTCCAGGGAAGATGGTCAAGGCAGAGTCTCGTCGACCTATGCTCGTACCAGTGGACTGTATTTAGTTTCGTGCTGTCTGTCTGTCTGTCTGGTGAATCTACATCTATACAGGCCACTGCTGGAGATTTCCTGCGGGCCCGGCGCTGTAAGAGTTGTGCAGCTTCCTCCAAGCCAGTGCAGCCATCGCCTTGGACAGTCATTACATAGCAGGCGTTTCGGTGGCAGACAACTCGAGGCGTTTTGTAAATAGTCGACACCACTATCAAGCTGCTCTGTCTATGCTATGCTGACGTGTGATTGGCATGCCGCATAAAGGGAAGAACTGCGAGAAGTAGAGCCACCTGCTTGCGACCTGATCTCGCAGGGCATGGGAGGAGCCATGGACCTCGTGTCCTCCAACTCGAAAGTGCTCGTCGCCCGCTGCTTGCAGGGTGGAGGGATCTGCCGTCAGTCATTGTTCGGCCATGTCCCAGATGCCGGCGCTTGGTGTAGCTTTGTGGTCTTGAAGAGTTTCATCAGGCTGACGAAGAAAGCTTTCCTACCAAACTCCACCCTCCCTCGGTTCATAGTAAACTTCGATATGACTGCTTGGATTTTCTGTGCCCTTGTTGTACAATTCAATACCTGCTGTTTCGATCTCCACGTCTTTTGGCAATTACGAGCCCAATAGATCTTCTTTTCGAGGGCCCCCCCAGAAGCTGATCAGCCAGACATGCCATGGCCTCTGAAACCTGCTACCCAGGTCATGGAGCACGTGGCGAAGGGCAACAAGCACAAGCTGAAAAAGAGTTCGGATCTTATGAAGGAGGAGCTATGGTCCGGAAGCTATTGCTGCAGCAGTCTTTTCAGACAAGCTCACTACTGACTACTCAAAGCTTCGTGGCATCGATATTGAATCATGGAATCATGCGGCTCAAATGCTCGGACATGCTGAAGAAAAGATTAATCCTGCTCTAGCTGAGGCTGTGATCTGCCACTTACCGGCAAAAGGGTCCGGAGACTCAGAAGCTAAGATTGTAATGCTATTGTAATTGCCTGGTCTGAGATCCTGCCGAGAGTTTGCCGAGGCAGAGAAGCCTGGCAATGGGGCGGAGAGTCGTGCGAACAGAAGCCTCATACCACCTTTCCCTTACTTGAGCTTGGCACCGACTTCGACACGCTTTGGTAAGACTGGAAACTGCAATTCCGAAGCTGCGCAACGACTGGACAGACATTCTCCAAACCAACCCTCAGGAAGAAGCATCTCGATCGAGTCCCAAGCCCTCCCCATGACTTAGTTTGCTTCGAGGATATGATCGCATGACAGCATGTACGAAAGTCGTGGTTGTCAAGACTGTCACGCATGCCATGTTCTGAACGGACGAATTTAGTAATCGTGGTTTGAATACACTAGTTTCATGATAGTGATTAGTTTGAGAAGTCACCAAAGTTCCAACTATAGTTTCTGTTGTGGAAAACGCAGGAGGAATAGGGTTAGGGTTTCGGGACCGAGGTTGTGGATCGCTGCATCACCGACCTTGCGGTCTTCGATTTCGCCACCGAGGGAGCTGAGGTGCCTCCGGGGCGCCAGGATCGTGGTTCTGCGGCTGAGGCGAGCATTCCTGGCGCGGCTTGACACTACAAGTTCACTACCTTGGAGGGCTCTTAGACCCAAAGTCTCGGTAGTTGACGGGAGTGCGAGCGGTCCGGTAGAGCATTCACAAAGCGACATGAAACCACCCCATCTGGGCTTTGTAGAGGCATTATACCTCGAATTTTGAAGCGGCAAAGTCGGCTGTGCAGAAATCTCAGACCCTCCAGACACGCACATACGTTCCGTGCTACTGCAACAAGCCATCCATGCTAAGGGGATACTGGTGGCGCTTGACGGTGTATCATGAAGAGGAGAAAAGTACTAGCTCGTGGCTTGCGTGGATCTTTAGGTCTTTAGGACATCTTCAAGGATCGGACACACTTCGGACAAAAACGAGCCCCCTGCCCCGCAGCATAAAGCATAGACACAGCAAGGCGGTTCAGAGACGAGAATGTCGTGCCACTGTGTCTCGTGCATTGAATGTGTAAAACGATGCTGATTTGTGCTTGACGGTAGCAGATACCCAGGGTGGCAAAGCTTGACGAGTGTAAACTGTTGTTTTGCGAACCAGTGCAGGGTTATTTGTTGTCTCGAGAATTTGTTCATATTCCGCACAAGTTCCGCTTGTAAATCCCAGGTGCTCTGGATACATGGCAGCAGGAGAGCGAAACCGACACTGACTTTAGGGATCCCTGAACAGTTGTGGCCACTTTAGCAGGTGCCTCCAACTTTGGCAGAGATCGCGCCAGGCCGAGAGAGCACGTAGGAAGCTCGAATCTGCGCGTGCTTCCTCAAGCAGCGTCGGCTACAGGATCTGTTGCTAACGCGGTTCTGCACTTCGGGCTAGACTCAAGACTGTCAAGACTCCTGTGCAGACACCACCGTCGATGCCGTCAAGGAGGCAACAGGCTTCGACTTCGTGGTAGCACAGCCTTTGAAGACCATGCTTCTTGGCTGCATTCTTGCCGTGGCTGTATTCCTGCATTGATGAAGGCATAAACCGGCAGGGAGCATCTTGCGGACTGTTCGTGGCTTCTACCATCGCACGACCTCAAAAACCTACCGAGCAAAGGGTTCAGCAGCGGAGCACGAAATGCGCGGTACCTCTGGGTGCGCACGACGTTTGGGACACATGTAGCGGAATGGTATGAGCACCATGCTGTGGCTTGAGCATCAGGTGTTGCATCCTTCCGTACCGCTTTACAACTTTACAGCACAAGTGCTGCGTCTTCATGATGGTGAATACTCACAAGACTGAAAGCGGGTCAGACATAGGACCCATTCCTTGCCTGCATTCCTTGTTCCTGTCCCTTAAAGCTTTGTGTAGGGCGCCTGGTAGCTCAGAAACCAGATGATGCATGCGTCTCTGCAGGCTCGCCGACTGAAGCGGACGGCTGGACTTGTCATTGTCAAGCTCTATCAGCTGCATCGAGAAGTACTTGGCAGCTTCAGACAGCACGATATGGCTTTGAGAGCTGTAATCAACCGTGGAAACCTGAACCCACTATCCAAACCACCCGAACCCATGGTGGCAGGATGTAAATAGCTTTGTTTCCGGCCTCGCAGTTTTCGGCGAAGTGCCGTTCCATTTTCAAACAGATGCAGATGGCCATGAGAAGACGCATCCCGCTGCATTTGGCACCGGGTTTCCGCAGAAGTGAAGATGATGACATATCTCCATGTTTTGCCGAAACATCGGTTTAGTGTGAGCACAAAGCGTCCTGTGGCTCGTTTTCGAGATTACTGCATCAGTTCTCGCCCCAAGTAAAGAAGAGCCCAGGATCTTAGACTGTTGTTGTTTTCGGGATGGACCCGCAGCAGACGAGATTACAAGAAAGAGGTTTGTTTTCTGCGCTGCACGTTAGAAAGCGGGATTAGAGCGGCTTCTTTTTGGACTGGAGCTTTTGCATCCAGAGCTCGTCCAGGAAGTTTGAAACCCTGGCAGTCGCTCGGATCCAGTACAGCAAGGGCTTTTTCAGCAACTTGGCACAGCCCGCTGAGCGACAGAGCAGCACAAACTGAGGCATGTTGCCTGTCAATGCTGTCCAGCACGCACTCAGTCCGAACCCAGAAATTTCGGAGGACCTTGTCTAGAACACCACAGACATGTACAGCCTCAGACACCCGAAGCATGCATAATTGCCAGTGGGGATTCTCGACCCTGCACATCACATCGCTCACAGCGGGCTCAGCCCTAAACCCCCTTGGGGTGGGCCAGAGTAAAGCAGCCCGCCAAGCACCTGCGAGCGGCTCTTGGCTACCCGCGGAAAAAGCAGCAATTGCACCCCCGCGACTTGAAGTCTGACTTGAAACAAGCATCAGGGCTTCAGCAAATAGCATCGGACATCTTCTGATTTCAACAGCGTAGACAGTGAGACTGCCTAGACCACAAGCCGCCCTACCCCCTGTCTATCATGTACATATATTTACCTGTTTGTTCAAACATCTATCTACGTGCTCATATTCTATACTTATCTGTATGTACGTGGTTGATGCCATATGCCCCTTTCTCTCTTGTTCCTGTTCACTGCCATTGTTGCACCGTTGCACCAAGCCTGGAGCCCGGATCACGGGAAATTTCGCTCTTGCTTGGCTGAACCATCGTGATTGCAACTCCAGCTTTGGAGCTTAAGCCGTGGCTTATTCATTGTATTTGCGGACTCGTGCTGCTCCTTCGGTTGAACGTTCAGAATGTTCTGGATCTACAGGCACAATATGGCACAATGGCAGCTTTGCAGTGGTTACGGTGCTTGCTTTGCAGCAAGCTGCATGCAGTGTCAGATACAGACTTCCTACAACAGTGTTCCCTGTCGGGCAATGCTGTCGCGATGGAAGGATTGATGCGACTCGTGCAGGCGACATGCTTCTTCTGTCTCCTCTGAGAATCTTGTGCCAGAAAGGCCGCAGAAACATACTGCATGCAACGTTGGTGGCAGGTAAATGAAGTTCCTGATTGGCGATGACACAGGCTTGCTTAAGCTCATCCGCGTGGAGGGAAAGAAGGCGCACCCGGTGGAACCGGTGACCACAGAAGTCAAGACCTGCCAGACCGCATCAGGGCTCTTCTTCCTTCCCTGAGACCTTCTGCTCTTGTTCTGCAGAAGTAGCTTCACCGATCCCAGGCCCAACACGGGTAGTAGCCGTGCTTAGTAGCCACAGTGGTTACAGTGAATGTGACAAGATTCTGCAACATGCGCCAAAGCCTCCTGAAGGCAGGTGTCGAGACTCTAAAGAACGACTTCAAGACCCTGAGCTTCAAGATATATCACGCTCCTATAGCCATCACTCCTGCGTGACCGCAAAGACGAGGACCTGTCGACCCATCCCTGGCATACTGGAGCTCAACAGCTGAGTGTCAAGCGTCTAAATGTCTGCGGCCCTTCGGGCACACAACCGTGAAAGAGAACATTGCCACTCTGGGCATTAAAGCATGTTTAATTTTCCTCCGGCATCCCTGGCAGATCGAGCGTGTTGGGGATCGTCGCCGAGGAGAAGCGATCCATCGGATTTGTCCCCCGGCATGGGATTGAAGTTCCAGACCCCCTTGATCCCCCCATATCAGCAGAGGATTTCAAGCTTTGGCTGATGTAGCGCACGGAGAACGGAATCACAAGTTTTCCGATTCTGCATGGATAATATGGGTTGATCCCACCGCAGTGGAAGCTGGCAACTTGGGGCCGAATCCAGCGTTCATTCAGATGGGCCGAGGGTGGGTTTCGGCACTGGTCTGGGGTCAAATTTCGGATTGGATGGGGCCAGGCCTGGCTAAGTCTGGTGTCCTTTGGAGGGATTGGCTTCAGGTGGAATCGCAAAGCTCCCTGGCTTTACTCCAGTCGTGCTCTTGTATGTTCGTGTCGTGGCTATTAAGTGCCCCCTCCACTTAGACAAGCCTTTCTGGGTTTCAGCTGCACGGACATGTTGCAGTCGTTGATGCCATGAGGTTGGGCCGGGCCGGCAGATAACCCCGAGGCAATCTTGTTTGCGGTCTTCAGAAATAGGAACAGGATCGCAGGGCGGGCTCAATATTCTGGACGTGACTCTTCCTCTTGATTGTCTTTTCTGATCTTTTCTGTCATGGCAGGCCCCACACTCAAGCCTCGGAACTGCCGACCTCCTCAACCTTCAGCGAAATCACGCAAAATTCTCCAAAGTTCCCGCCGCAGCGCCGGACAAATTCTGTATAGCTTCCCTTAGTCAGTCCCGACCTCACTTGGGTTTCGTGCTGCTGGGGTCCTCCTCCCAGTTCTGTTGGAATTCGCCTGGCAGCTCGTTGACTCGAAGCAGATGTGAAACCGAGACATGGACGATCGAGAGGTCTGCTGAGGTCAAGTTTAAAACATGGTTGGGTGACTTCCTAAGCGTCCTGTCACATCCTCACATTCCCTTAATAACATTCAGAAGTGCGAGACCCAATCAATGCTCGCTGTTGGGATCTGGGGTGTGCGATGCCAGCGCTCGGCGACTAGTCTTTGTGATGAAATCTTTTGCAAAAACGCATGCGAAATCGCGCATGTGCTGACAGAACGGTGGTTCAATGTGTCGTGATGCCAGTCTAAATTTCATGTGTGCTCGTTGACGCACTCTTGCCAAGGGATATGAAAACCCAGCGTCCCCTCAGTAGGTCGTGTTCAGACCTGACACAGGCCGCAGTGGCCATCGCCTACGCTTCGGGAGCTCTTGAGCTTCGAAGCCTCGCAGGCATTGCCCGTCTTACGTACGACGATTCATGATGATGATACTGCACTGATGGCCACGATGATGGTGACGAGTGCTCACGATGTTGATGAATGCGGTGGAGACATTCATCATCGTCATTGGTCATCCTCATCACCACCGTTGCCATGATCATCGTCATCCTCCTTGACATCATCACGTGCTTCTGCGTCATCATCATGGTCATTCCTGCTCCCCTCCGCCTCGTCGTCATCATCATCTTCTTCAGCATCATTATCATCCTCACCATCATCACCTGCCTCTTCGTCGTCATCATCATCACCATCGTCAGTAACATCGTCGTCGAAGCCTTAAGCCAAAAGCAGCTGAACGTTGGCGTACTACCCATCCTTAGAGCTCTGGGGCCGGAAGCTGTTGGAGGATCTTCTGGCAACAGATGCGTGACGTCGCATGGGGAGACCCAACATCGGCATGGCTTATGCGCACTTGGATCGTTAGGCCCCACCAAACAGCCAACTCTGCAGATTGACAGACCTCCTTTGAGCCCTTCGGCGTCAAATTTGGACGCTTGCACCCCGAAAGATCCCAGACGCAATCCCAACCATTGACAACTCCAACACCCGAAAAACGTGACATTCAAACTGAACGCCGAGGGCATCACAAACACCCACAGAGGTCAGCCTCTCAGCAGCGCCGCCAGTGCCGAAGCAGTGAAATGCCTGCAGGCACAGTCATACCGTACCGCACAGCACCTGCACCAACAAAGTAGAAGTAGACACATGTCCAGGCGTAAAACATGTACAGGCTTTAACTTATGTTTTTTGGTATACATACATACATACATATATGGGTACACCCCCCCCCCCTCAACGACCAAGGTTTCCATACAAGCCTACATGCAATAATTGACGTCGATGGCCTTTGGGGGGCATGTTATTCACGAGGTGGAACCACTTGTTCCATCGCATGGCGGCTAGTATCAATAACCTTGAAGGCGTGATCGACAGCAGTAAACAAATTCCTTGCCGAATGCAAATTACGAACGCATCTGTTTTGCACTCCATACTCCTAAAGGACTTTCTGTTAGCTTGGTGTAGTCGGTGTGCATTGAAAATATGATGTTGCAACAGAAGCGTTGCAACAGAAACTCTTTACTTCACATATCCGTTTCGTAGGGTGGCCTTATCCTTCACGGTTAAGCAATGACATGTTTTCGCTCATCTCCTTTTGCGCGAAGTCTATTTCGCCGTCGGGCAACTCGATTTCAGCAGCATACATACCCGAGGTTATGTTAATTTTTCTGCCGATTTTGTTTTGATGATATGAGGCTTCCGAATGTGTCAAAGGCTTCGTTCTCGTGGGCTTTGTTCGCATTCTTCTCAAGTAACTAGAAGTTAACTTCAACCATAGTTTTTTTGATCCTGACGTATTCGGCTGGTTTGTCGGAGATGTCGTTTGTCCATGGTCCAGCTGTAATCTTTCTGTAGTCCGTCTTGTATACTCTGGCTGGCTTATACCAGTAGAATATCTTGCACTGCTTCGTAAAGTGCTTTAGAAGCCTGCTTAAAGAGTAGGCTTTATCGAAACATAAACGTCTCTTGGTTGGATTCGCCAAGTAGAGAGTCAAATCGCGAGAAGCCTTAACACTGTCTTTGAACGGTTTCCTGACATCAGACTGGATAAACACAGGCATTTCGGCGATCTTGTGGAAAGCAGACATGTAAGCTTTCTATCTCCGTATCAACTTCTGGAGCTTAAAGTGTTTGTCATCTTTGTCTGTCGCTTTATGTAAATACTCATGTCTCTCTATTTCAGCCACAGGGGGATGGTGCGACGCCCCGTAAAGATTTCAACGTCAATTTCTTCTCAACATGACTTGTGAGTTGGCTGGAAGAGGGTTGTGTTGAAATTACGCATGGCACTGGACATCTTATTGTAGATCTGCCGTTCTTACGCAGATGGAACCACCTATATATAGAATCATATACCAAGTTCTGGGCCTCGACCTTGTATTTGATCTCTTTGTGGGTCTTCTGGTTTGTTTTAATCATAAGCTAGAAGTTAAGCTCAGATTCACAACTCGCAGTGAATCTAACTCGTGGCGTGTCATACCCTGCCTGTTTGACAAGATAAGACAGATCCCACCCGAAAATGTTGGCCTTTGACGGCGATAACATTTATACAACTGTATATATATATGTACATATACGAATAACATATGTGTATATGTATATGTATTGTGATACATGCAAACATAACTACAGACAACGCAATGTATACTGCATCCAGTAGGACTTCGGATTTGATGAGCTTCTGGCGTTGACATTTCGGGCTTCGATTGCAGAGGATATTGCAGAGGTTTCAAGACTTGTTTCTTGCTGATCATCGAGGTCTAAGGCCATGGAGTGGCGGTTTGAGTGCATGGTCTTTGCCGGTTGGTATCTGCTCTGAGGCATCGTAAGTCCTGAAAACATTGGTGAAAATGAAACTGCCAGGCCTTGAAGAAGAGGATAGGCCACAATCACCGGCGAAGGGAATGTGGAACATGAGCGGATAAACGAAGACCACATACGGCATCGGGATCGTGATCAGACCGAAACATCCACTCCCAGTGACCATTCAGGACATTTCAGGACCACTGACTTCACGCCTCTGAGGCTCGTGCTTCTGAAAGAAGCGAACTCACATGGCACCCGTTCCAACGGCCAGGTGTCCTCGGCGGGGGTGTTGGCCATCTCAGCGGACGGAGCAGCGAGCATCGTCTCTGAATGGGGGAAGGCATCTTTGCGAGTCAGACGTCGGATTACGTACCCAGGCTGTCAAGTAGCTTCGGTTCAGAAGAGCCTGAATCTAGAATGGAGGGCAGAGGATACTGTCACAATCGCTGTGTGGAGGTTGGGTCTGCTTGGTACCTGTTTAATTAAGGCGGCAACAGTGACAGGATCTCCGGCATTCCATGAAACAGGGGCACTTACGCGCCTGAAGGTCTAGGAGTCGTTGGAGTCGTTGAACAAAAACTGCTTGCGGCGCCCGCAACACTGTGATGCGAAGGCCTTCGACGAGTCCGGCTTTGCTGGAGGCGTCTTCGATGTAGGAGCGAGGACTGAGGGCATTCAGAGCTGCCAGAGCTGACACCGGGTCGTTTGTAAGCTCAGGGCTCACGCAGGCGAAATTTTCGTTTTTATGTTCACATTTCTGCTAATCCTTTGCCACCTCCCTTGTTTGGTCTGGTCGCGGCTACCTGCACGACATGGTGGACTGGTAGATGTTCCAGGCAACCCAGCGCGCCCGCACCATTCGGATTTGCGATTCTCCTCAAAAGACTTTGGTTTGCAACGTTATTTCCCAAGGCCCTGCTTGACCATTGAAATCCCAAGCTAACCCCGCCACCAATCATGTGTTGGAGGTGCAGACGCAGAGGTCGAGAAACTTAAGCTGCAGGCGGCGATCATGCACTTGAGAAATTCTGGGGAACGGAACGCAACAGTTTGCCCTGTTTAGAGAATCAGCCGTGCGATCGCTACCCACGTGTCAACAAGATCTGCTCTGAGACGTCTATACATGGATGACAGGGGCCGATTGCCGATGCCTCCGTGGATCCAGCAAGGCTTCCACGGTTTGCACCATTTGCGCTGGCATCCAGTGTCAGGGAAAGACTAAAGAGTCGATCGCATCAGCCTGATCGCAACATGAGATGATCGAGCGGCAAGTCAAGGCCGCTGCGTAGCTTGTAGCTTGCCAGGAAGTTGCCGGTGCCAGAGACGGTTCTGACACACTGGCACTGGGTGACAGTTTGGGAGCAGTCAGGTTTTGCCATGCTCGCTGCACAACTCTAGGCCATCCCGATTTGCCTTCGGCGGCCTCGAAAACGTTGCATGGCCAGAATTTATCAGTCAGCGCAGCACAGGCGAAATACTCGAAGGGGTGACTTCAAAATCGCAACATGGGAGGAATTGGAACTCTGGCTAGGCAGCCTGTGTAGGGAGGCTCTCTGCATTGGGAAGGCCCCTGTCCTCCACGATAACAGCCCGTGTAATCAACAGTTATGCCCTGACGCCTTGGCCACGAGGGCTTGAACCGAAGCCTCCAGTCCTGCAGCGACGAGGATGTGAAAATTTTCGACCTCGAGCGCAAGGAGGCAGAGCAAAGTCACAGCAGAGACCTCCAAATAGGGAATTCGAGGCCATGTGCCAAAGTTGGGCCTCCGATAGACCGCGCGCTTGGGGTAGACATCAGTGGACGCCTCCTCTTCGAAGCCAGCAGTTGCAGTCCGAAGACACGACGCTGCATATTATGATGTCATGGATATGGCTCTAATTCCAGCAGCCAATTTGGAGTATATTTCACATACCTGAGAATGAGACCAGCTGCACCTATTTCTTACACTGTGCAGGTCACATGGACTGCGAGAAACGTGCGGGAGTTGCTGGGCTGGATTTGGGTTCGCCTTCGGGAAGAGAGACTGCAGCTTCGCCACATGTTGGAAGACGAGTGACGGACAAAAAGGTTGGTTGCCGCAATCCGCTATTTGCTGGAGCTCGTTTTGGACAGTGAACTCCCCGCAAGAGCCCGACAAATTGCCCTAGACACGCTGGAGTTCAAGTTCCCTCGTCTAAATCCACACGCAGTCTTGCAGTCTACCAGAACCGAGGGATTCGCTTTGCCTTCGAGTGCCGGTCAGCTGGCATATTTGGCACTTTTCAGCATCGAAGCACATGGACTGGGCCAAGATTGAGGATGATGAAGATGAAGAGATGAAGAAGATGCTGAGATCATGAAATCATGTGATGACGACGACGATATATTATATTATCAAGTGCATGATCATTTCCATGGTCATGATGATCATGACGATGCCTGGTGCTGGTGCTGTTATTGGTGACGGTAATGGTGGTGATGATGCAGATATGTGCAGATGCCGCGAGTGATATAGACATTTTGTATGTGAGCGGAAGTCTTATGCACTGAATCTCCGCAGCCGTTTGAGCCAACTAGCCGCCAGGTGAAAGTCAGCACTCTGGGATGGGCCACCGCTATGTGCACCTCCCGCTCCTTGATTACGTCGGACACTGAGCCGTCTCAGGGTTTGGAGATTAGGCTCAAAGTCGAGTCTTTGCAGCTCTGCCATCTCCCATGCAATAGTGTCGGGCCAAGCAGCAGCCACGGAGGAAAATCTTTCGAGGGCTGTACTCAAAGGCTTTCCACAAATTCCCCCAATGTCTTGTCCACGAGCCTGAGCTGCTGGGCCTCTTGCTCATGACACGATCAAACTGGCGCCTTTCGGGATGCGTCTGGAAGGTTCCGAGGGCCCGATACTGTCCTGCTGCCTCGCAGGTGTGGGACCGCTGACGGTAAGATTCGTGTGTACGACGCGAACACGCAGCGGAGGCCGCGGGGAAAGTTCCAAAAGCTGCACTTTCACAACCCGCCGACGCTTCTGAGCAGGCCGCTCTTCGAGCTGCGGGTCGGCTACAAAGTGGGCGTAGGCAGCAGTTTGACGAATTTTTGTCGGTCCAGCCTTCGGGGTGGACAGAGTGACTGTGGCACAAGACACAAGTTTGCTCGCTTCTGACAAGTGCTTGCCGACACAGTAGATCCAACACATTCTCATAGGCTCCGGCAGGATGCAAGCAGAAGCATTCGAAGCTGGTTTCCCATAACAGAAGTCACCGACGTGCACGTCCCACCCGAACCTGGACAGGTGCGGGCGGTTGGACCGGGGTGGAAGACAACACCAAAAGGCTTCTCGCTTTGGAAAGGGCGCGTTTGCGACATACGTGACTTCACAGAGATCGACCGAAGACCCATATACATGAATGTTGTTTCCAGTGGGAGCTTGCTGGTTCGAGAGACCATGAAGAGCCCGGCTGGTCGGGAAAACGAAAGCGACTGCCGACTGAGTTTTGAGATGCAGATAAAAAAAGCACCGAAGGCCATGAGAGTTGCGATGACTTCTTTTTGAGGCTCCCGGAGCCCAGCACCACCTTCTAGCTATCCTGGTAAGAAGCTGCAAGAACATCATGATCCCTTTGCTTCCATCCGCTATCCCTGAGGCCTTTGCTTTGCAGCCGAGTCGCAGCTGTCCGCTGGGCTCCGAGTTGCGTGACGTCGGGCTTGGAGTTTTCCCTTCGGAGCTTCAGGCTTCATCAGGCTCTGGGTCTTAAGCTTTCGAAAGCCGCTTTTGGTTGCAACATAGGACGCATCTGTGCTGTTAAATCGCTTCCTGGGAAGTTTGAGGATCTTCGTTGCATGCTGCTGTTCCGAACTTTTAATCTGCAGCTTCCAACTGAAGACATGCAAAACCTCAAGTCCGTATGGCAAGCTTCGCAGCTGGATGTCACGGCACCCAGCCTGTCACCTTCCAAACAGAGGTGGCGACGGCTGGGGTCTTTTCGTCGGTGACACCTTGGGCGTCCTGCGCGAGTGCGCCCGGAGTTCTTCCTGGACGATCCCAGCAAGAACTGGAGAAGACTCATCAGGTACGACCTGCGGAACCTTCCCAAGACACAGACTGCTGCGATACCACCGGGACGAAAGCCAGCTTCCCAGCTTATAACTGCAAGCGATATTCCGTTTGATGTCAGGATGGGTGGGACCTGCTGAGTCTGGTCTTGCTAAGCTGGGGTGGAGCAGGTATTGTGAAGAGGCACAGCAGATGGCTGCATCCCTGTATCCTTGGGGGTGTAAGCACGTTGGTGTGAGCACGCTCAGGGCAGTGGTGAAAGGATTGAGGCCTAACGGCTTGAGGTTAGAAGGCGAACTTTCAACGCTTCATTGCAGACACGCCCATCTTCTTCTCTAATATTCTCTAATCTGCAGTACTGGAAGAGCGTGCTAGCAGCCCTTCTTCACGGAAGAACTCGCATCGAAGTTGACCGAAACCTCGATGCTTGTTGCCCTCAGGGCCCATCTGAATCTGGCCATGAAGGCCTGGCGGTCCGACTTTCCTGAAGTAGGCTTCCTGCATGCACATCACGGCAAAGGCTAGCCCTTCGGCACAGCGACCGGCAGAGTAAAGTGTCTGCGGATCACCTCCTGTTCGCAAACATCATACGAGTCGTCAGCCTTGCCGTGAAGGAGCTCCCGTTCAAGCGTGGCTACAGGTGGGTCAAGCCCTGCAGTTTGATCAGCTTTTGAGCTTCCTCGCTCACGACCGTGAGTTGAGCAGGCGAGGTGTGTTGGACAATGCTAGATGCTTCCTGTGGAGAGCACGTGACAAGTCATGCAGCTTCACATGCATTTCATGTATAACTAGCATTTGTGTCTAACGCGACAGAAAATTAAGGAGAGAAAGAGACAGCAGGGTCAAGTGAAGCTGCCAGGGGTATCATGGGGGCCATTCGAGACGTTGACGTCCACTGCGGCAGGGCGCACAGACATGACTCGACGTCACTGTGACATCCATGGGCCACAGGAATCAATGCTGCACGCTCTCTACAGCTTTACAAAAGAATCCAACTGGCCCGAAAATTGAGGAAGGCAAAACTTGGGGACATGCACGTGAGTACATGAGTGCAAGAAACCCACTGTCGTCAGAGTTGTGCATTCACTGCTTCCCTGAGGTGGCAAAGCTTTGGCTGCGGTCGGCTTGGGCCGTTTTGCATACGTCGCCTGGCTCTGACATTTGGTTCTAGAGTCCATGACAGGAAAAGCAGCAGCACCAGTAGCAACAGTGGTAGTTGGCGGTGGGGTACTGGTGTTGGGGAGGCTGCTAGCCGCAGTCGTCATCGTCGTGGTCGTTGTGGCGGTGGTGGTGGCGGTGGTGGTAGTCGTAGTGGTGGAAGCAGTCGTCGTGGAAGAAGAAGTGGTGGTGGTGGCAGTGGAAGAGGAGTGTCAGCTGCAGCAACAGCGGCAGTAGCAGTTGCAGTAGCGGCCCCGACCACGGCCGTGGCGGTATGCGTTCCGCAGCAGTAGCAGCAATAGCAATTGTTGTAGTAGCATTACTAGTACCCAACGCGCTCGTACTTGATCGTGGCACTTTCTGTTTGTTTATGGGACGGGGAAGTAGAGGTGTCGGGGGGAGGGACGTGGCGGGGTGCGGTGGCGGTATTTACAGCATTTCGACCTTGTCGACACTGCGGCCCAAAGACTCAGACGCTTTGCCTTACTAAAGCTAGATATGCTGTCGCGAGGTCCGATCCTATTGCGAACATGCCCAGAGCACTGGTAACTCTAGTGTGTTCGCGGTTCTATCCGTAAGTGCGTGTGGCTAGCGGCTAGTGGAAACAGCAAGGCTCCTTTGATGTTACTCTCCGCTTTGGTTTCGAAGGTTTGGGACAGGCTAGTCAGAGTCAGAGACCTCACCAGGCCATACCAGGCCCTGGTGAAAGACGAAGAAGCTTCGCCTTCATGTCATGGTACCGTATCATCTCTATCTCTCCCAATCTCCCCAATCATTTCAATTCCAAGGTTTTTCCAACAGTCGGTCGAGAGATGATCTGCAAGGCCAATGGCAGCGCAGGGATGCTGCGGCCATGATCATGCTTTGTTGTGTTCGTGCGCACTGCAAGTTGTTCAGCAGGGCCTAAACCCGGTCCTTCGACAGTAGTGGTTCAGCTCTGCAACACTCTGCCCATGTGATCACCCTCCAGACAGCTTCTTGCCTCTGTAGTTTGAGTTACACAGGTCTACCTCAAGCAGAAGCTGAACTGTGTCTTGATGTCACGGGAGGAGATGGCAAAGCCCAAGAAGGAGCTTTGCCAACAGACTGCTTCCGTGTGCTATCTTTCGGCGCAGCGGCCCAATAGTCAAGACTGTGATGTGAAACTGTGAAACCGCCGGCAGGTACTTCTGTCGCATGCAGTCAGACCGTGCGGGTATTGGCGAGTCAAAAGCGCAAGGACAAGCAGAGTCAAGAGGAGGGCGAGGAGGAGGAGCAACTCGAAGAAGATGAGGAAGTGGACGGAGGCGTTGAAGCCATCCAGCTGGAAGGGAAAGCCGCAACTGAAATCTACGATTTCGGAGTCCTACCTAGCAGAGCCACGCCGGAATATCAAACTTTGACAAAATGGCGGTGTTGTGGTCGTGTGGTCTCCTGTGACGACGAAACCTCGGCCCCCGGAGTTTGCAAAATGTTGTTCACCTCCTCCCATCTCACCCTTCCTTGGTAGGTGAGACCAAAGGCGCTGTCCAGCCCGATCCGGAGGACGAGGCCTGCATGTGAGACTCCACGCCAGGCATTGTGTTGTATACGAAGCTGCATGTCCAGAACGGTGCCTGAACGGTTAAACTTGAGAAGTTGTATTGCACAATAGGCTGAAGACTGAACCAAAATGACCAGATCAGGGGCAGGCAGTGAAGTGTGCAGGATGCCTGCGGTGTGTGAGTAAGTGTGTGCTGTGTGTGTGGGTCCAATATGACCAGATTAGGGGCAGGCAGTGAGGTGAGCAGGATGTCCGGGGTGTGTGAGTGTGTGTGTGTGTGTGTCTCTGTGTGTCTCTGTGTGTCTCTGTGTGTCTCTGTGTGTCTCTGTGTGTCTCTGTGTGTCTCTGTGTGTCTCTGTGTGTCTCTGTCTGTCTCTGTCTGTCTCTGTGTGTCTCTGTGCGTCTCTGTGCGTCTCTGTGCATCTCTGTGCGTCTCTGTCTGTCTCTGTCTGTCTCTGTCTGTCTCTGTCTGTCTCTGTCTGTCTCTGTCTGTCTCTGTCTGTCTCTGTCTGTCTCTGTCTGTCTCTGTCTGTCTCTGTCTGTCTCTGTCTGTCTCTGTCTGTCTCTGTCTGTCTCTGTCTGTCTGTCTGTCTGTGTGTGTGTGTGTGTCTGTGTCTGTGTCTCTGTAACTGTCTGTGTCTGTGTCTGTGTCTGTCTGTGTGTGTGTGTGTGTGTGCGTGCGTGGGTGGGTGCGTGGGTGCGTGCGTGGGTGCGTGTGTGTGTGTGTGTGTGTGTGTGTGTGTGTGTGTGTGTGTGTGTGTGTGTGTGTGTGTGTGTGTGTGTGTGTGTGTGTGTGTGTGTGTGTGTGTGTGTGTGTGTGTGTGTGTGTGTGTGTGTGTGTGTGTGTGTGTGTGTGTGTGTGTGTGTGTGTGTGTGTGTGTGTGTGTGTGTGTGTGTGTGTGTGTGTGTGTGTGTGTGTGTGTGTGTGTGTGTGTGTGTGTGTGTGTGTGTGTGTGTGTGTGTGTGTGTGTGTGTGTGTGTCGTGTGTGTGTGGGTGCGTGGTGGGTGCGTACGTGTGGGTGCGTACGTGTGGGTGCGTACGTGTGGGTGCGTACGTGTGGGTGCGTGCGTGCGTGCGTGCGTGGGTGCATGGGTGCGTGCGTGGGTGCATGGGTGCGTGCGTGGGTGCGTGCGTGGGTGCGTGCGTGGGTGGGTGCGTGCGTGCGTGCGTGGTTGGATGCGTGGGTGGCTTCGTGGGTGGCTGCGTTGGTGGCTGCGTGGGTGGCTGGGTGGGTGGCTGCGTGGGTGGCTGGGTGGGTGGCTGGGTGGGTGGCTGGGTGGGTGGGTGTGGTTGTGTGTGGGTGCGCTATTCAAAGGAAAGTATCGATCTTGCTTTCTTTCAATCAAGAATCTATCCCTCTATCTTTCTGGTCAACTTACCTGGCTATCTGGCCGCCGGCTGGTTGGCCAGCTTGAAGGCTAGCTAACTAGCTGGCTAGCTGTTTGTCTGTCTATCCACACACGTCCACTATGTATGCACGCATACCGGCAAGCAAGCAAGCATGCATGCCTACATGCAGTACATAAATATATATATATATATATATATATATATATATATATATATATTATATATATATACATACATATATACATAGACACATGTCACATGTACAAACACATATATGGTCATGCGCTCCGCGGGCCCCCCCTCTCCCCCCCCAAAGGTCAATGGTCCGGATATAGGTGGGGGCGCCCCCTCCCTCGTGGTGTAGGGTGTTGGGGTCCCTCTTCCCCCTGTGGGGTGGTTGTGGGGTTTTGAGGTTCAGGGTTTAGCTTAAGCTTTTGAGTTTTCGGTTTACGGTTGCAAGGTATACGGATTCGAGTCGACAAGGGTTTAGGGAAGATTTGCGGTGTATGTTCTGCTTTAGGCTTAGAGCCGGCAGTTAGGTGGGGTTTAGGGTTGGGCGTAGGGTTTTAAGTACAAGTTAAGGTTACTCAAAACAGGGGCATGCGCTGCGTTATAGGGTTTACGGCTTGCTTGCGACGGGCTTGCGTGTGAGCCTTGGCCACCAGCACCACCCACCATCCAGTGGCCGCTCTAACGGCCCCGACCCCTTTCTTCCCTCCCCCACCCTTAGCAGACCATATCATTGGGGGGGAGGCCGGGAACGCCAGACGCCTGACCATATGTTTACATCCTGACTCATATATATATATATATATATATATATATATATATATATATAGTGGTAGCTTAGCGCTGCGTGCGTAGTGTTTCACCTCCGTAGGCTCTCGGCTCAAGGGTGACAATGAGAGTCGCCCTGCTGTTGCTCGGCGCACTGGTGCGCCCGCTAGGGGGGCTATGGCCTTTCGCGGTGGGTGGCGAAAACCAACGTGCGACAAAGGAGGAGCGGGTTCGTGCCCTACAGAAGGACACGAACCTTTCAATTCCCGTGGCTCGGAACCGAGCCCGGGAGCATCGTACTGGTGGTTCGATTGGTCCTGGGAAGGATCGAACGAACCGAAAGCCAGCACACCCCAAGCTGAAGATGCCCATTCTCGACGCTGGTATTTCCGGATTTTGGCCGGAGTACTGTGGGAGATATGGGAGGGAGGGCTGACATGGTGCGGCACCCTCTGTGCCTCTATCGGGCTTGCAGCAAGGTGGACCTATTGGTTGGCCACGGCCACCATTCTGCTGGGTATGCTGCAACTTACCTACTGGACCTATGCGTGGGTCGTCAGGCCCATCATTGTCGTCATAGGAGCCCTGCTCCAATATGTGGCGGGCCGAGGGACCTGGGAAGCCGTGCTGAGAGGACACGGGGAGAACCCCTACCACGTTAGGTGGACCGGACCCCAGGGCCAGCATCCCTGGTCGGTCAATTATGTTCAAGATCGGAGAGGCGAACAGCAGCTCCCGTATGACCTTCTAGTGACCGACGGGGTAGCAGTGGCCCGTTTACGGCACGGCGCCGTACGGGGACGCACCAACCGGCATGGATTCCTGTGCCGGTGCGACAGTGTGCACGGGGCTTCCCACCGCTATTGGAGAAGGTGCCTGGAGCGAGCGCAGTGCGTTGTGCACTTGTGCTCGGTAGATCCGTGCACTTCGCCTGAAGCAGCAGAGCTGCACATCACGGCCAGCGGCGTGGTCCCCCAGAGTGTGGACGTCGACCTGAACGAATTGTCAGGCCGGGGACCCATGTGTCGGGCCCTCAACGCTTCCAAGTTCATGGCACTACAGGGAGTCACAGGGCTTTGGGGCACCGGGCGCGCATGTGGGCGCTGGGTCGCGTCCTGGTGTTGCTGCGGAGGAGCGAGACACTCGAGGCGCGTTCCGCGCCCGGGAGAAGAGGAAGGTCGCACCCCTCGCCATGACCTGTCGGAGACCGAATCAGAAGAAGAAGACAACCCATGTCAGGCGGATGCGATTGCCTGGAAAGAAGGCACGCAGACGAAAAGGCTCAGCAAAGAGCGCTGCAAAGATGCAGCGTGTTCGTGGGTGAAGCTTCTTAGCGATGACGGCGTGCAAAGCAGCAGTGGGGAACTACATTGGGACGGACTGCAAGCTAGCTGCCAGCTCTGCGCCCGACACCAAGAGAGCTACGCTCTTTCGAAAACTCGAAGGGCGTGCTCGGTCGAGGGCTGCGAAAAGGTTGCCCAAACCGTAAAGGGGGGGGTCAAGCTTTGCAGACTACACGCCAGCAAAGAGGAGCGGGGCCCTGCCGTCAAGCCGGGCAACTTCGCTTCCCGGTCTCGAGGTCTTCCGGAAGCCAGAAAGAGGTCCATCAGTCGTGGCGCGGAGCGCGCCCGACCACACTCACAGGATGCGACGCCCAAACGCAGCACTCAGACGGAGGCAGCAGAACTCCGTGGGATTTCCTCTCCCCCGCGTTTGGATGGGGCCGCTTCCGTGGCTTCCCTCCCCGGGGTAGATGCCTCGGTCGAGGATCAGGTACTCTCAGGACTGACCTGGAAAGAGATCGCCGTACCAGATGAGGATCTCCGCAAGAGGGCTTTTTTTCTTGAGCAGAAGGGCACGATGCCCGGCCCAACGTCCAGCGGACCGAGCAGAAGCACCGGACGAAAGTCAAGCTCTGTTCGCGCACGTGGAAGCGAGGCTCCAAGGGAAGGGCCACGACTCAGCGGTCGAGGTTTCCGCGGTGGGCGGCCGGACCCCGTCTGACAGAAGAGCAGCCGGGGGGCGGGTTCTACCCGTGGTCCGCTTCGGACCCCGGTTCCTCCCACTTACACTTCAGGCCCAGATTGTTCGTGGGCTGCTTCAGCCCCGGGTCACCGCCCGACGGCTCAGGCACTTTTCAGGTCCAGCCCAGGATCAGGGGACGCGGTAGACGCGTTGGCCCAGGCCACAAGGGCTTTCCGAGCGGGAGCCTTTACTGATGCAGAGGCACCCGCCGCAGACGAGACAACCAAAGCGCTTCAGGCGATAGCCAAGAGCCTGACCGCAAAGGAAGACGCCCTTGCGCAGGAACGAGGCAAGTTGGCGTCAATCGGTCGCCTCGAAGAAAGGCTAGTTTTCCTGCTCCGAGGCTGCGACACTTTGAGCGTCACTCTGTGCCCGGGCGTGGTGGGCAAGGAACTCTTCCATGCGCTTCGCATTGCCGGAACACAGGCAAGACCGCAGCTGCGGAAGATCGAGTTCCCTTGCAACATTCAGAACCGGCACAGCTACGGGTTTGCGGCACTGCAGATGGGCGGAAAAACGCTCAGTACCCTGCCTGAGTATTGCCTCTCAGCGGGAGATTTCCCGCTCACCTCGGAAGAAGATTTCGATAACTACGGGGGCTCTCCGGATCTCAAACTTGAACGTAAGGGCAGGTACCCTAACACGTTGACCTCCTGGTTCAGAGCCGCCCTCCGTCAGTCCTGGGCCTTCGCCTGTCTCTTCGGTGAAGAATATTACCCCGTGCTCGAAAAGGCAGCCTCACACTTGCTCCGTTTAGGGGAGCAACACGGCTATGCCTGGCCAGCTTCGGCAGTATACGGTGCGTGGGAAGAACTTTGGGCCCGCTTCTGCGAGGAGGCTCGTGAGTTGGATCGT